CGAGGGCAGCTACAGCAGGGCATATCTGAACTAAACAGAATTCATACAGGCAGGAGTTTGTGAAGCAAAGCAAATTACTTTCACAGATTCTATTCCTGTGAAGAACAGTGACACGTTATGACCATGGGGCCCAGCAAAGGTGTGTAATTTGGGATCAGGTCGCTATCTTCTGTGACCTCTATACACTGTCATCAATTTATGTGATTTATCACAGCCTTGCTTTCCAGATGGGGAGCGACAACCGTGGAGGGACACTCAAATGCTGCAAGTGAAAAATGAAAAAATAACATGGCTGGGGCAACAACGAAAAGCAAACACAGATTGGGGCTTTTTTGTGTTTCTGTTTAGAAAGAATTTTGATCAAAATTTAAACAAGTTAATACCAAATGCACGCTTCATGTTTTATATGTGAAAGCAGCTGGGACCTAGGACCCGTTGTCAGAGTCAGAAGTTCGAGCTGGGTGGGGCATGAGCATGGGGGATGGAAATGGGTTATGAACGCAGATTCCTAAGTGACCTCTCAAGCTAGCAGATTTCAGTGTTCTATACAAACTAATGTAGTCACAGAATGTCACTAATCTAAATATTCTGCATTAGCATGACTTTAGTTAAAGGATCTCAAAACACTGGCTTGAGAGATAGCCCTACTGGACAGCTTACTTATGAAACGAAGAAATACATTTTCATTCCCTTACCCCTAAATCCCCACCTCCTTTTTAACTCACTCCCTTGTGTGGGAGAGGAAACATGGAACCAGGGTTGAATGGGGTTGTGTGTGCAGGAATAAAATGCCAGAGTCTGAGCCGCCTAATGCAGAAAGAGCTACAGCACTGTCTTTCAATAGCCCTCTCCTAAGGGGCAGGAAACACACCCATCAACACCCTTCACCTGTAAAAGACGTGGAAGAGGTGCTCTACAAAGAAGGAAAATGGGTCTTTACTGGGTTGTGGGAAAATGAAATGTGACCCTCATATTGAAATTTTAGCTCTCATGCCAAGGGAAGGAGATAAAAGGAGGGGAGAGAGGGCAAAGACACCTGTGTCTGAGGACACGTGCTGACCTTGACACGAGTTCTACTCACTTCGCTGAAGTGGTGGACAGAACGCACCCTCGCCTTAGCACACTTTCCCGCTTACAGAACCACCTGTCCTAAACACTGGGTAGAAAATAACAGTTCTGGAGCTCGAGCAGGCCATGGTTAAGGCCAAGGCTTGGCAAGATACCTCAGAGGTGAATGATGCAAACAAATGAACCGTAATTTCAAAAACAAGAATGGGTCTACCCGTGACATACAATGCCGGTGGCTAACTTCAAAAGTCATGTGGAACGTGAACTACCTAGATGCTGAGCTTCAGTAACAAGCATGTACCTACTTGCAGAGAACCTACTGTACTGTTCGAGATACTTGGGATAACGGAGGGACAACTGAATCCCTACCTTCATGGAGCTCACCATCTACCACTAGGACCAGACAAGACACAATGTGGCAAATAATTTAACAGTTTAGGTAACAAATGCTTTGCGAAAGCAGACAGGCAGGTTGCCACTGAAATAAGGGGAGCAGAGCCAGCCTCCAGAAGAAAGATTTGAATAAGGTGGGGCAGGTGGGTGGGGCAAAGGGACTTCTGAGGAAGAGCTGTCCAAGCAGAGGGGACAAAGCACAGCCCTGAGGTAGGAGGGGGCAGGAGAGGTCATCAGAGGGCAGAGCTGCCTCTCTTGAGCCTTAATTTCATCTTTCATCCCTGTTTCATAACACAAAGAAGGATGCAGTTCATATTTATTGAATTACTTAATTCCAACAAATACAAGATTACCCAATACACAAATTTAATCCAAACTATAGGCTAGGGCTTTGTGAAAAAAAAACAAAAAAACAAAAAAAAACTATACAAAATGTACTAGCGGAAAATACATTTCCTGAAAAGCTATTTATCACATTTTCAAATGGGCTTTTTTACTCTCTTTCTCCCTAAAAGTTACATGTCACAGCATTATTTCCAGGAACATACAAGGGAAGTGGAAAAAGGCTCTATTATATAAGAAGGGGTCCATCACACAGAATCTACCTTTCACCAGAGTCTAATGATGGCTTTCTTCTAAAAACAGAGGTGGCGGCAAGCACAGGGTACGAGGGGAAGCGATCAGTAGGAAGGTAGGTCTCAGTACCCTCTTTCCCCCGGGCCCTATGGGAGAGTGCCAACTGTCCACGGACATGATCTCAACAAGAGGGCCCTGTATGTAATCCTGAGACCTCAGGGGTCACCTCCAAATAAAATACAGGAAGTCAAACACGAAAAACAGGCTAAGTCACCTGGGAGGAGGAAAAGAAGGACTAAAGAGTTCAATTACAGTAAGAAGAGAAAAAAAAAAAAGATCCCTTCTTGTCTTTAAACACGTTGTCACTACAAAAGCTTTTCAAATAAATACACACGTAGGCAAAAGACATCAGAGTCCCATAGGTTTCAACATCTGTATATCTCCTTACAACTACTTGCCATGTCAATTGGACATGCAACTAGTAGGAACTACGGAATTCCCATTTCACAGACATCATATTTATTTAAAATTGTTGTTTATTGATTTGAGAGAGAGAGATCTGTTGTTCCACTTATTTATGCATTCATTGGTTGATTCTTGTATGTGTCCTGACCTGGAATGGAACCCGCAACCTTGGCATATCAAGGATGATGTTCTAACCAAATGAGCTAGGAAACAGGGCAGGAGTCGTATTTAAATGAGAATACAAGATGAACATTTCTAGAAAATCTAATGTTTAGTACTACATTCCCCACCCAACCCCCACATGCTGCCTTTCAACCTCTCCATTATTGCGAATTTCTCATTTATATTCAGGCCTGTTCTGATACTTTAATGCACACAATTGTGGGTCTCTTTCTTAAATTCTGCTAAAGTATTTCATTTACTGTACACTTCTATGATTTAAAAAAAAAAAAATTAAAAAACTGTTAAAATTTTCAATTGTCACTACATTACATAAGAAAGCATTATAAAAGAATTTAGGACCTAAACAGAGAAAATCAATTTTTCTTAAAAGACTTGCTTTTTCTGTATATTATATCCAAATAAAGTTACACCTGACAGCAGTTATCAAATGCAATTTTGTTTAGAAATTACTTTTACAAAATCTTTTGTCACTAATATTCACAAAATACCCCTTTCAACCTTTTTTTTTTTTTTTTTTTTTTTTTTTTTATCTTCACCCGAGGACATTTTTCCATTTTTTGTACAGATAGAGTGGGAGGGAGAGAGAGAGAGGGAAACATCGACGTGAAAGGGACACATCGAGTGGCTGCCACCCGCACGACCAACCAGGGCCGGGGACAAACTGCAACCGAGGTACGTGCCCTTAGCGGGAACCGAACCCGGGTCTCTCCGGACCGCAGGCGGATGCTCTAACCACTGAGCCAAACCAGCCAGGGCCCTTTCAACCTTTTAAATAATCTTCTCTAATCCAACTCAGATATTTTTATGGTTCTGTAATCTTTTGTATTCTGGGATAAATTACATCATTTTCCCTTTTGAATTAGCCTACTTATAAGGACGTGTTTCTAATTTACAAAACAAAAATTCAAATTAAAAACATGTAATTTGGTGGGGAAAACACAAGTATGTATATTTATTTTTGATCTACTAAGCAAAACTATGCAAGAAACACAATGATTGACAAAATTTATATATGTGTGTGTCATGATTTTGATTCACCTGAAAAAATTAAATTTTGCTTTTAAAATGTACAGTAAAACACATTTGGACATTATTGTGAAGTATGGTACAATGTTCGTGAAGTATCTTTTGGGGTGGGAGACAGAAAAGCACTTCCCTTCAGGCATCTTTAGTAAATTCTTTAACTTTTACAAAATGTCCCCAATCCTATCATTACTCTATACCAAAAGGCAGCTGCTTCTGCTTCTTCTTACATTCTGCTTCTTCATTTTGGTTACTGCATCCATTTTTGCTAGGACAAGCCGACATTAAAAAGAAGGCCTAACAGTATCAGAATCTCTTCTAGAAACATAATGCGATGCCCCAGTCAGTTCTCAACATGCAGCCACTGCCACCGGCCCACCCATTTCAAACACACCTTTCCTACCCAGCTCAGTCTCAGAGGGGAAAAGAAAAAGACTGCAAGGGGCGGGGGATAAAAAATGCTTGAAATTTACTAGTGAGAAAACGAATGGACAAAGCTGATACCAGCAAAGCCCAGTAAAAGGCTCGTCTGTGTGAAATTGAACAGAAAAAAAACCCTAAAGAGAACAGCTGGTATGCACAGCTCAGATGTGGACCATCTCCAATACACAAGGAGTGGTTTTTGAATCAAGGTGGTTTCCATTTAGGAAAAGTATTCAGCGATCTTTTTTTCTCATGAAGGCCAAGCACACTATAGGTACTAATGCTACGTGTGACATTGCCCACAAAGGAGGAGGAGGACTCCCTTCTACGGGATTGGGTTTCAGCTGTAGGCACAGTGTTCCCGGAGAGGAAACCAAGAGGTAGATACCGGGTTATGAAAACAAGGGTTTCTTCTCCCCTGAGTTCTGTGGTCATTTTATTACTCTCTACATTTTTCCATACAAATCATGTTAATGTTAAATATACTTATATTAGACTTACCCTCTACTTTGCTAAAATAATTATTTAGATATATAATACCAATTACAAGAATAAGAAAGCAATAAGTATTTAATTCAATGACAACTACAAAAGCAGTGTTTAAAGACACTCACTAAACAGGTTCTCAGATACCATCTCCTTATTTTATAACTAAACCCTCCAACCCACACACACGAATTTTTAGTTGTGCAATGAATGACCAAGCTTGTATGCACCGTATAATAGAAATTCAGGGCAGGTTGCTGAACCGACTTCTGTCCAGAGCACTTCAGCTCAATCCAAATGTAACACTTTGCCTTTAAAAAAAAGGAGGGGGGGGGGAGTGAGGTAGGGGGGTGTGTCATTAGCAATCACTCATCAATACCGACCTTGTTGCTCACTTTCTGCTTCGGTTTTCGAAGAACCTGGTGCAACAGGAAGGGGTCGAGGTGGCCGGGGCTTCGGGGTGGGAGGTGAGATTTTTTTCCTTCCAATATATTCTACATAAGTTCCTGGAAAGTCCCCTCTCTCCCCTGTGGTTTCATTATAGCCATTTAACCAGCCAATTTCTTCAGGCCTGGCTTCCTGTCCATCGCTGAATCCAAGAGCTACTAAGGACCCTTTATTCACAGTCAATATGTCACCCAAGTGCAAGTCAATATCTTCTTCTCGCTCCTTTTTATAATCATAGAGAGCCCTGTACTGGTACCCCTCGGCACTCATGTTTGCAAATCTGTGACCATGCGACAGACGACTCTGGTTACAATTTTACGTTTCTATGGAAAGTGAACTCAGAGAGTGTGTTAAGATTCCTAATATGTGTCCAGCAAAGGACAAAGGACAACTCTCCAAAGGTTTAAGAAGAGAGGTAACTGGCCATTGGCTGTCCATCTGTCCTCCATCAATGGTGTGACCGAAGACAGGGCTCCACTTCCTCTGCAGGCTGCAGTTCTCCCACTGACTTCCTTTTCAGCAACTTGTCAACACTTTGACTCCAGGATGACTCTCACAGCGAGGCCCAATCCTTTCTGACACTCCCGTCCCACTGTCCATCTGTCGTCTGATTTTACCGCTGCACTCCACACGCGAGCTTCACCTAGCAAAGGAAAAACAAGACTTAAGAATGAACATCACACTTGGCCATCTGTGTGAATTTGAATTTCCACCTCCATTCAACAAGTGCTTAATCAATCTGGCAGATGTACGCGGCCAGCGTGCTGCTGGACATTGTCCACAACAAAGATTAGTGAGACTCCCCTTGCTTTCCAGGAGCACCGGGCGGGGTGTAGGAGTGTTGGCGTGTGGCAATGTCTCAGAGATAAGACGGGTACATAAAGAACTGATACACAATAACATGAGGTAAATGCAGAAGCCAGCAGAGACTAAAGGCTGCAGAGTTCAAATAAGCAAGAGACCACATCTAAGGGTAGGAATCTGAAGACAGAATGAAATGTGCGGCATGATCTTAGGTACAGATGTGACTAAGCAACTATCATATTCTGGAAAGAGCCAGAACAGGGAGCCCATCTGCCTGGAGGAAAGAGGGAGCATCACTGACTTTGGAGGAAGCAGACTTGTCCAGGAGCATTAAGGACAGGAACTAGAATGGAAGGAGTTAAGGAACTGAAGAGGCAGATGAGACGGTTGCTGCAGGTCACTCTATGAAGACAGCTTAGTGGAAGGACAACTGGGAAACAAAAGTGTTTCTTTTTCCTTTTTTAACATAGTGGAGGCAGAGGAATTAAGAGCCAAAGATTGTCTAAATTAGTGAGTCGGCGAGTTAGCGCTGGATTGCCAACCGGACAGTGTGTGCACAGCACTCCATTCATTTCTCCTCGTTATCTCTATTATAAAGTCAAAGCCACCTAAAGGTTTCAGTTAAGCTGGCTGAACAATAAAGCAATAAAAACAATAGCCACACAATTTCACTGTGCTGTGTATCAAAGAGAGCTTGTACAAGTTTTACAACATGGAAAACTTTAGAAGTTTAATATTATAGGCACTCTTCAGTGTAGGCATCTTAAGAAGCCACATCAGATCACAGAGTAATTGTTATGTTGGCATTCAGAAGTGTAAAATATTCAACTTTACATGGCTAAAGCCTCTTAGCTGTAATATAATAACACTCTTAGGAGAGTTACATATTGAAAGAAGCAAAAACAAACACTGGAAATCTTTGTGTAGCAAGGATATTAATTTTGGTTAGTATTATTCTACTTTGTATTTCAGTTGTCAGAGAAAAAAATTAAAGCCACCAGCAGAGTGGATGAGAAAAATAAACTATATTATGTTTGAAGACTGCCTCTCCTTTTGCTAGATCCAGAATCAAATTCAATATTCACTGCATAAATTCACACAGAAATGTAGAACTAGCAAATCTCATTTTTAGTACTAATGTACTCTGTACAAATGAGACACAGAGCTCTAAAGAACATGAAAAAATTTACATATTCCTAAATGCCCCCAAAACCAGGCAGCATGCCTAAGAATAATTTAATCCCTTCAAATCTGCCTTGAAATTTTTGTTAGCTTTTCTAGGCAATTTATATCTTTTTTTTGGGGGGGGAGGATCCCTCAACTAGTAGGCTGGTAGATCTTTCCTCCAGCTGCTGCCTAAAGCTGCCTCTAGTCCAACAACCCAGTGGGCCAGTTTGGTGAGATTCTTCACAGAATGGGGCATGTAACGATCCTTCCTGCTACAGTCCTCAGCAACCGCAAGACCCTGCCTGCCACATACCTATGTAGCTCTGCATGTTCCTCACCAGGGGACGCTGTAGTAAGAAAGGCGCCCTGTCTATTCAAGGTATTACAAACCTGGAAACTGCTTATGTTGGCATGAGGCTAAATTTGTGCAAAGACAAAAATACCCAAGGAACCTGCTGGCTTTAATGAGGTCAGACTCTACAATAGCAATCTCTGCCATATGTGCCAGAGAGCTGTATGTTTCTACAAATTCCCTCTCCCTGACTATTTGCAAGAAGCTTACTGCCTGTAAATTCTGTAGATTCTGGGACCTCATCTGATAAGAAGAACCCAAGATCTTCCATGACTCTAGGATTGGAAGTGGAAGACACCTGTCCTGTCCTCTGGGACGGCTCCACCACCAAGGCCAGGAGAGCCATCAAAACAATTCCAGATTGGCCATGATTCCGTGCCAACTGGGTGATGGGAGGGCAATGTTGTAAGAGAAGAGAGAGCCCTGACTAGTCATTTCGGTGACGACTGGATTGTGTTCTAGCATGAGGTACACAGCGACCTTGGACAAGAAGAGGCAGTCACACTTCTCTGGACCACCAGGCCCATTTTAATGACTGTCATTGTCATCATCACCATGGTCAACATGGTCATCACCTGATACTTGCAGGTATTAGCAATAATTCTCATTTTACATGAGAGGAAACTGAGGTGCAGAAAATTTAGTATCTTGGCCATGATAACACTAAACAATTGAGAGGTGTAACCAAGATTCAGATGCAGGCAGTCTGCCACCAGAGCCACCACTTTATCCACCACTAGAACCTACTGCCCAAACTCAACTTGCTTCCATGCTCAAGGACAGTCCAGATATATCCTTGCAGTCCCTGATGCAGACTCCTTGCCTGCATGCTCTGACCTCTGCTTTCACTCTCTGGGACAGCAGCCTTACTGATTGTGTTTGTGGCTCTTTCACAAACACACCTGCTCAAAAAAGGGGCTGTTCTAACTCAGCAGCAGTTCCGTCAAGCCCAAGACCCAGCATCTAGGACCACGCACATTTCCTTCCAAAGAGACTTCATTAAAATGCATCCTTGCCACTCTGGTTGGTTTGGCTCCGTGGTTAGAGTGTCGGCCCGCACATGGAAGGGTCAAGGGTTTGTTCCCTAGTCAAGGGCACATACCTGGGTTGCAGATTTGATCTCTGGCCCTGGCTGGGATCCTGTGGGAGGTAAGCAGTCAATGTGTCTCTCTCACATCGATATTTCTCCCTCCCTCCCTCCCTCCTTCGCACTCTATCTAAAAATCAATGGATAAAATATCCTCAGGTGAAGATTAACCAAAAAAAAAAAAGAAAAGAGAAACACATCCCTGCAAAAGAGTCCATAAACTAGTGAATAAAAGAATGCTGGGTACATCACTTCTGGAAGGCTGCCCACTTCTGCTCTGTCTTATGAGCCGAGGCTTCGGCCCTCCATATACCTCTTGACATCTATGCCCCCTGTGGCTGTCCCAGGCTCCACATTGCACAATTTCTAAAAACTCAGCTCCTCCTTAGGGAGATACCAATTCACAGTCACAAGGGCTATCACATTTAGAGGACTGACAAGCTCTCTTTTCTCTCACCCTCCAATTCTCTGCAGGAATGCAGAAGACTCGAAGGCCTGAGTCATTGACACAGTTCGGGTAATCCTTCTGAGATGATCAGAGACCAAGCTATTAGGATCCGAAGACTGGATGTTGCCCAGATTTATAAGATTTTGCTTTCAGTCTCTTTGGCAACATACACCTGTCCATTGAACTATTTCCACCAGCGCTAACATAATTATTCACAAAGTAAAGGTTTTTATATGTGGGTAATATCCACCATCTGTAAGTTAATGTTTTCAAATAACCAAGGTAGTATTATGACATCTAGTGTCCAAGCTAGTGCAAACAAATGTTTCTGTAACAAAAAGTATAAAGGAATCCTATGAACAAATAACAAATTAACTTACTCTTATATTTACATCATATGAACAGTTCAAAGTTTCCTTAAAGGAATGATTTTGCTCCATTCTTTCAACCTTTGTAAAGACTACTCAAAATTCCGCTTATTGGAAGTGTATTTCCTCTCTCCCCTAAGATCCTGAGTAGTTCTCATTCTCTTCCTCAAAATAAATGTTGTTCTGATGCCTGACAAGAAGCAACCATGTCTTAATGTACAATTTCAATTTAGCCCTCTAACCTGCAGGCATTTTGGCAAAGAACCAAACAAAATTCTTTGAGAAGTCCTCTGACTTTGACTTATTCATTCCCCTTTTACACAAGACAAGGATTTAGCAAACTTGGTGAGCGGCAGGAATAAAAGATATTTTTAAATCACTTTAAATAAATTAAGACTATATCCTGATCATATGATTCCATCCTGCAATAAAATTAGCAATTTGGCCCTGGGTCCCAGCACAAAATGAGCCTGCAATCCAGATGCAAGAGCTATGGAGGGGCTCCTGGGCCCCCAATCCTTACCTCCCTAACTTCCATCTCTCCATCCTCAGTGTGCTAGCTCTGAGTCTAGAAAAAGCTCCCCATCTAAATTCACAATCTTTAAAAAACAAACTTCATTATTTAAAAATCTTTTCACTTTTTGAGTATGTCCTAAAAATTATGACAATCGAACTGAATAAAAGTTAACATTTTCCAGTAAACATAATGAAGTTCAACTTAAAATGACGCGCTCAGGATAAATTTTATGGCACGTGAGTTTTATCTAAACTAAACCAAAATTTAAAAGATGGGATCAGATTAACCCTGAAGTCACAGTCATCAAATACCTCCATTCATTCTGAAACCAGCCAGAGCAGGCTGCCAGCTGCCATGCTCAGGGCTGAGCCGGTACTGTGGGGAAGCCCGGTATCTAGGTCAGAACCCCTTGCCTGCAAGCCCTTTTGGGTGTGGGGTGGGGCACAGGATAAGGTGAAACTACAAGGAAGGACAAGGAGGCAGGGCTCTCCAGAGAGCAAAGCGATGGCCTGGCCTAGAGCACTGCAGGAGGGGCTGAGGAAAGAGAGGCCCAGGCCCAGCTGCAGGAAGCTCCCAAGCTCAGAGGTCATCACCTGGGACAAGGATAAAGGGTGATGCAGGCACTCACACGGAGGCTTCCTGGGCCTGAGAAACATCCTATTGCCCAGAAATGGCCACCGGGCTGACCACTCTCCTTCTCTGCATCATCACTGAAAAGAGACCCTGAGGAGGCACTATGGAACGAGAGGACTTGGAGGACTAATGTTGACCATCTAAAGTCCTCCTCTAGTTAAAGCACAATGCTATTTTGTAAAATTCTTAGCAATAAGGTTAGTTAGTATAAGCACTAAGATTTAGACTCAGCGGCTGTCCTCATCAGTGCCTAGATTTTTAAACTTGGGCAAGTTACTTAAACCTCTATGTAGCACAATTTTAGCATCTGTGGGACAGATACAAAAAAAAACAACCTACAGCTCATAGGGTTATTATGAGGATTAAATTAAATGGCATATATAAAGCACTGAGCTCCATGCTTGATAATTAGAGCTTAATAATTAACACTGACACAGTGCTTACTAGGGGCCAGGCTCAGTTCTTAGAGTTTTGCATACATAAACTCATTTAATCCTTACAACCACCCTAGGTACAATTACTATCTCCATTTCACAGATGAGAAAACAAACAGAAGTTAATTTGCCTGAAGTTACATTAACTAGTAAATTGTAGTATTGTTACTATTGTAACAATTATTAGTAGTACTGAATGACACTGCTATTTATACAATTCATACTTAACACAGGATCATTTGCCAGGAATTTTCTTTTGCACTGCCTCTAAATGCTGCAAACCGTTCTAGGTGAATCCTGAAGTAGCCAAAATAAAACTCTCCACTGTTCCCTTAACTCCTTTCCAAAGTAAACAGACAGACAGAGAGATAAAGTCTGCATGCAGACTTTGCCCACTAGTCCTCTCCCTACCTGAGGTCCAGGGTGGCTCTGCAGAGGTGGGGCAAAGGAGACTCAGGAGGCAGCAGGGCTGTGTGAGGGTGTATGTCAGGTGGGAGGTGGCTAGGAACAATCCTCCAACAGGGTTTGGTCACTGCTCTAGCTGCTCTGAGAGAGAAAAGATGAATACACTGATGCAATTCTCCAGGGACTGAAGGCAGCCCAATCAGCATGCCCCAGTTCTTGAGGCTGAGTCCTGTCTGGACCACTGGGCATGGCACAATGGCCCAGGCACTTCAATTTATTAAAGTATTCTACCCACTGATTGGTTCTCTCCTTACATTTAGGCCAGACTCCTGTAACTTAAATGACTGGGGGTTTGAGGGGGGAGCGCAGGTTCTGGGAAGGGGAAGTAACCTGAAAACTATTTTGACTACAGGTGCCTGTGGGTATGTATTTGATTTACTTTAAGAAAAACAATGCTGGGAAGATAAAACATCTAAAGATGTTTTTATAGTAGATTTTTTTTGTTTTTGTTTGTTTTTTAGCAAAATCTATACTACATTTATTCTACCCTGTCAAAACAAACAAAAAAACTAACATAAGCCAAACAGACAGGTTTATGAGTGATCACAGTCTATTTTTCAGCTCATTCAGCATAATGTACGTGAAATGGCTTTTAATCGCCACTATTTTGGCAAATTAATTCCAATAAGAGTGTTGGCAGAACCACGGCAAATAATCATATTACGGGGTGTACGTGGAAACGGGGGGAAAAAAAGCAATAAATAATATGACTATTTTAAAAATTAATCACAACCTGAGTTTTTGGTTTAAAAATGTCATTTAATTTATATTATGCCTTCAGGGTAAACACTAATTGGTAATCCCTTCCTTCCATTGATAAGTAACTTTCTCACCTTCTGAGGGCTTGCTTCCCTGAGATGTTCTATTCTCCTGCCTTCACTGGCAAATCCCTTTGCCCTCCAAAAGAGGGAGAAGAGCCTGTCTTAAAATGTGTAATATACTGAAAAAAGCACTTCCCATTTTCTCCGCATTGTGCATGCCTCAGATGTGAGAATTAAAAGCAAAACCCCAAATGCAAACGTTATCTCAGCTTTCCATAGTCTGCATGACCATAAAATGTTTTTTTTTTTCAATCTGTTCGTGTACCATCTCTTTAGTCAATAAAACATTTGGCAAATTACAAAATGCAAGCACCATAAAAGTTGAACTAGAACTGTTCCCGTTTTAATGAACAATCTTTGAGAGCATGCCTTTTTAGAATATTCCCCCAAAGTACCTAAGGAAAAAAATATTCAACCAACACACTAACCTAAAAGTTAGGTAACATTCATAGAAAAATTTAATTAAAGGTTTGGCCAATACTTTTAACAACATAAAGTTTGGGTAAGTGCAATAGGTTAGCATTTGAGAAACAAAACTCTTCTATACAGTCCCAGCAGTTAAATGCACACTACTATCACCACTATCAATAACTAAAATACAAATTGCCTGTAAGTTACCGCGCATCACTTGTTCCCCAAAACCAACCTTATGCTGCAGGGATTTCCTGATCTTAAAAAATTGCAATTCCAAGACATAGCTAAAGGAAGACAACATAATCAATCAGTGGGGAGTGAAATGCTTTTTCACATTGGCTATCAGCATCACAGATGCAAAAACACACAGTGATATCATCATTTTACAAAAGCAGATAAAACAGTAGATAATAGTGTGTAACATTGCAGAGTTCTGTTAGGGAACAGGCCCATTATCAAGATGAGAGTTAAAGAAAGCAAATGCTTATAACACTTTGAAAGCCAATATCATGACAAATTAAACTTTCTTTCAACCATGAAAGTCTACACATTTCCATGGAAAAAGTATGACTCTACTACCTACCTGAACAGACATACAGAAGCTAAGGAGGCCAGCAGTAGCATAACCCAACACTTCTGCAAGGCAGGCAGCCTCCTCCACTGGCCTTTCCAGTTTAAGCCTTGATTCTAAACCAAACACACCTTCCCAAATTTTATAGGGACCCCCCTCCAAGAAAAAAAAAAAAAATAACTGTTAGGGTATTTTCTTTGTAGTGATCAAAACATTTGCTTTTAAAGTTTAAGCAACTTTTATTCCTAAGAAAACCATAATCTACTGCTTTTAAACTGTTCAAGAACAGTGCAATCTGTCAAAAAAGTATAGCAAGAGAGTGGCTTTATATTTTCTTTTTCAACAAAACAAGATGTTTGTGGCCTTCTGTGCAGAAGTCACCAAACTTCCAATGATTTACACCTGGAAGACGCATTATTCTGATAGCCTGCCTGAGAAATGAACCTGCTTACCTATTCCAACCTTTCCTAGCGAACATCATCTTCAAAGTTGCAAAAACGCAAAACAAACTAAAGAAATATGAAAATACAGTTCCACGTTAAGCTTGGGTCAATAAGCTCTGCGAATGTCCCGCCTAACAACTAAAACTTGAATCTCATCACACAGAAATGACAATCTCATGCTGCATTCAAAACCCGGAACTGCTTTATCCATTCCTACTTCACACTGACAAAGAGGAAAACGACAGGGGAGAAAAATCAAAAAACCACTATCGCTTCTAAAGTCCTAAATAAGAGTCAACTCATACTCAGCTGCCAACAGAGCTGCAGCTCCACCAGGATTCACAGTGGAAGCGAGACCTTTCCAATATTGAGAGCGCCCAGGGAAGCGTACGAATTTCCCCCAATACAGTTCACACACATTCTGCGTTCAACATGTAACTGCCATTCCGCTCACACCCTTACATTTCATGTTCAAATTCTGGTGACCAAAGTACATTTCTGTACTGGAATGGTTGGCCTAAGCTTTTCTGTTCTCTTTGTCTGGTGATCTGCGGGGCAGTTTCTGCTCTTGGGAAGTGAGTGTTAGAGCTGTGGTTTCCAGACAATTCCCCATATTTTAGCTCGGGCACGCACGCTCTCATGCTCTCCCTAACCGGCTCCATATTGCTGGGCAAGTCCCTCCAGTGTAGCCCTGCGTTGCAAAAGCTGGATTTCCGGGCTGTTCCAAGACCCCATTAAACGTGTCTTCAACAACCTGCCCAGACCGGGCCAGCATTAGACAAGGAGCTGGGGCCCCAGCGACCAGCTGCCCCGAGGCGCACTTCCTCCACCCCGGAAGAGGAGGGAGGCAAACTTCGGGAGGGGGGAGGGCTGGCAGTGAGCTCCGGGGACCACCGCCGCTCCGCCCGCCTGGGGAAGGGCCCAGGCAACGACCCTGGCTGCAGCTGGAGGGCGCGGAGGAAGGCATCGCTCCTTCCCGCTAACGCAAAGGCAGCGGTCAGGGCGCGCTCCTCTGGTGAAGGGCCTCGGAAAACTGCAGCAAGACAACAGTGGAGACCCTCAGAAGTGTGCGGTGACGGAGGGGTGGGGGAAAGCCGGAGGTCGCCTGAAACTCCGGGGACGGATGCGCCCGGCGACGTGCAGAACCAGCTCGGAAGAGGCCGGGAAATGGGAGCCAAGACGCTGGCAGCAAGAGGGGCCCCCAGAGGGCGAGAGATGCGGGCGGCAAGGAGGTCCGGCGGCCGACCGTTTTCCCTAGGCTCGGCTCTGCAGAAGAAGCCACTGCTGGTGACAGGAAGAGAGCGGCGACAGCCGCGCACGCACGCACCGCCTCCCCCTCCCGAGCACACACACCCGGACCCGCTGCAACCGCCTACCTCCCCCGCTGGCCGGCTTCCTTCCTCTCCCGAGCCCGGGCTGCAGCGGCGGCCTCCAGCACGCACGACTCCAACGCGCCTCTGACCTGGCTCAGACCCACCAGCGTCCCCAATCCGAGCTCGCCGTCTCCAGACCGCTCGCCCGGCCTCGCCGCAGCAGCCGCTTCCTCCAGCTCCGCTCCAGCTGCTCGCGACTCCTCTCCGTACGCCCGCAGCTCCAGAGCCCGACGCCGGCCCCGCCTTCGGTTCGGCCCCTCGCGCCCCGCCCCCGAGCCCGCACCAACCAGCGCCTGCGTCTCCGCCCCTCTCGGCTGGCGCCGCGCCCTCTGCCGCTGCCACTGTCCGTGCCCGCCTCCGAGGCGGGAGGCCAACGAGGCGGAGCCCCGACCCTGTGGACTCTTCCTGTTGCCCGGCTCGCCTGTCGCCCTGCTCGCCTTCCGCCCCCGCCGCGGGGATGCCCGGGGCGGCTGGGACGCGCGCTGCCTCCGTTGTGGAGCGCTCTGGGTCTGCGTTCTCCGAAATGGCCAGGCTGCTACCCGCCCGCGGCGGAGCCGGCTGCTGGGCGTCTCCCGGACTACAGGCAGCTGGGCTCTGGGGGAGGTCGAGGACAAGTTCAGACTTACTTAGAGGCTGCGTCTCTACTCCGAGCGTCTTGAAACAAACCTCAGTCTCTTTCGAGCCCCCCACCCCTAGCAGAGTGGCTGGGCGGAAAGGACTCAGATTTGAGGGCTCGCCAAAGCCAGGAGGCCCTGCAATTCCCGGCCTCGCCAGCACAGCCTCGGGAGTGGGCGGAAAAACCACGCCACCCCGCGTGGCGCCCGGGGGTGAAGGAGGGGTGAAAGGGTGAACCGGAGGGACGAGCACCGCAGCCTTGCCGCGAAATCCAAGAGCCTGACACCACTGCCACCAGGAGCCAGGCGGGTCCGCGAAAAGGGAAGAGTTTTATGAGGGCGACGCTGGCTGATCCCTCCAGTCCTGAGATGACAGAGCAAATGTAGGTCGCTCAGGCAGACTAAGGCCCTCTCGTTGTTCGTTCATAGGGGTCGGTGGAGGAAACTCCCCTGAATTATATTGTCCCATAAATCTGTTAGCTTTCAAAGGCAGATTCTTCCACTAATAGTCATTACTTAAGTTGCCCCCCCAAAAACCTGATGTTGGTCAGACCTTCCACTGCCAAGTAGATGGAAGACCAGTACCTGTGTTCAGCTCTTTTCCATTAAAACATGTAGGAGTCCCTTTTTACAAAACTCTTCCCAGATTCCTCCTCTGCAGTTTTGAGATCTGCATTCACCCAGCCTGCTTGCCCCAAATCCCTTTTTACAGCTCTTTCCCAATTTCCTTACAAGAATATTACGGGTTTTTTTATCCTCACCCAAGGACATTTTTCTATTTTTTGTTCATGTAGAGTGGGAGGGAGAGAGAGAGGAAGAGAGAGAGAGAAACATCGACAGGAAAGGGACACATCGAGTGGCTGCCACCCGCACGACCAACCAGGGCCGGGGACAAACTGTAACCGAGGTACATGCCCTTAGCGGGAACTGAACCCCAGAACTTTCTGGACCACAGGCCGACGCTCTAACCACTGAGCCAAAATGACCAGGGCAGAATATTACGTTTTTTTACCCAAGCACGTAGATTTTGTCAAACTTTGAATTTGGTGGTTTATTCCAGTGGGCGTTGGAAGTAGAGAAAAGAACATTCCGAAATTTTTGTCCTTAGAAAATATCATTTTTAAAGGTGACTCACATTCTAAGGGAAAAGTTCTACTTTTGGTTATTCGGGTAGCGTTTTTATTATTCCAACGTGTCTGGTAAAGTGAAGATGCAGAAGCAGACAGCTACCTACCTGTTTAAGAATTCCCCTCTAGCCCTGGCCGGTTTGGCTCAGCGGTTAGAGCATTGGCCTGCGGTCCGGAGACACCAGGTTTGGTTCCCACTAAGGGCATGTATCTCGGTTGCAGTTTGTCCCCAGCCATGTGGGTGGCAGCCACTTGATGTGTCCCTTTCACGTTGATGTTTTCCCTCTCTCCCTTTTCCTCCCACTTTATCTGAACCAAAAAAAAAAAAAAGGAAAAATGTCCTCGGGTGAGGATAAAAAAAAAAATCCACTCTATCTAAAAGTAAATAGGAAGTTTACCAAGCTGCATCCTTCCCACCTACTATGTAAAATGCAGGGCCTAATATATTGTTTGTCTGGGCTTTGTAAATAAAATGAGCTGCCTTACCCTTTGGTAGAATTACTTTGATCCAATGCAATAAGCTGAGGTGTAACTGCTGTGATGTTTACAGTATTTCCTCTAGGCTTGATTCTGAAGAAACCTTACCAGCAATCTCCTCCTTTTGTTTATCATGAGTTCCTGGAAAGGGACTACTTGAGAAGTAGGGTTCTTTCCTCCTCAAGCCCCAAAATAACATGAAAGCTTTAATTGAGCTTCCATTTTTAGATAGTCTTTAGTAATTTTTTTCCAGTATATACTGTACTTAAAAAAATTTTTTCCCATCATATTGGAACATACAGCATAAGTCCAAAGAGTGTCCATGGAAGGACAATAGACCTCTTTTTCCATAATCTGAATAATTTCAGTCATTGTGTCATCTGTATTAAATTGGTACCTGTCCCCATATTACTGGTATTATCATTTTTACTTACATTCATTACCATTGGCTTCAGTGAAATAAAACAAAGGCAACAAAAAAGCAGTATTCAAACTTTAAAAATAACAAAACAGTCTTTATTTAATAAAATTGTATCTTGACTCCCAAAATGGAACTGTTATAAGAAGCCATGTGGTGAGGCCAAAAGAGTTGATAGGTCTCTGACTAGTCATGTCATTATCTCCTGGGAATTTGATGGAAATGCAAATTCTCTGTCCAAACTGAATCAGAAATACTGGGTGGAGCCTAGCAATCTGTTTAAATAAGCCTTCCAAATGGTCTGGTGCATGCTAGGGTTTGAGAACCATTACTCTAGGCCTAGATGTCTGGGAACACAGACCGAAAATGACTGTAATAAAATGCTCAAATAAGCACGCAAACACCACAGTTCAATCAGAAAAGATGAGACAGGTAGTGCCAGTACTAAGCTCAAAAGGTCAGATCATGTGCAATATACCAAAGGGAGATTGTCAGTACAACTGGTGACAGTGATGGTGTTTTGGAAGTCAGACCTAAGGGTGTCAAGGCCTCTCTTCTACCCACCCTTGCACCTTGAAAGGCTTCCAGTGGCTACAGCAAGCTAAGTGTCCTGCCCAAAAAGGACAAGTAGGATACCCTCATTTGCCATCATCAGTCCAGCTACCTCAATAATGTGAGTGCTGGAATACGCTTCCATTAGACTTGAAACCTAAGCATGTAGTTTAGGGTTCAAAACACAACATAAACTAACACAAATGCCTTAGAGCAGTGGTTCTCAACCTTCCTAATGCCGCGGGTGTTTAATACAGTTCCTCATGTTGTGGTGACCCCCAACCATAATATTATTTCGTTGCTACTTCATAACTGTAATTTTGCTACTGTTATGTCTTAGGCGACCCCTGTGAAAGGGTTGGTCAACCCCCAATGGGATCGTGACCCACAGGCTGAGAACCGCTCACCTAGAGCCTTACTTCTCAAAGAGAGGACCATAGACCTGCAGTATTGGCACCATCTAGGAGCTTGTTAGACATGCAAAATCCCAGGTCCTATGCCAGACATACTGAATCATAATCTGCATTTTAACAAAATCCCAGGGTATTAATATGCAAGTTAAACTTTGAGATGCTGTGCCTTAGACAGCGGTCCTTAATTGTGGCTACACATTTGGAATAGCCCAGGGAGTTTCTAAAAATCCCACTGCCTGGTCTGCACCCCAGATGGATTATATCAGAATTCCTGGGGTGGGACACAGGCATCAATTAAGGTTCTTCAGGTGATTCCAATGTGAAGCCAAGTTTTAAAGAACCACTGCTTGGAGGAACCAGGTAGGAAAGGGGCCATCAGGAAAGTCAGCAGGGGAGACACTGGATCCCAAATGGCTGGTCTTACAGGAAGCAGCTGGTACTAGAGTTTAGCTGATTGTTGCCACACAGGGATGTAAGCCCACATTTGCCAGACCTTTCAATTTTCAAAGAGAAGTTTTAAAATTCAGATTTTTATGGGCAATTTCTCAATTATTAAATGCTGGCAATTAATTCAACATTCTTTGAAACTTGGGTTAGGCCACATAAGTGTGATGACCACCAGTTTATGGTTTTATGATGCTGTACATCATACAATTAAGTGGGCCTAAAATATATATATAGCCAAGAAGAAAACTGGCATGTTGGAATGTCAAACTATTGATCTAAAGGCCCATGTATTTTGAATCGTCTGTTCACTACAGCACCAAATATTGCAGGTATTCAATGACTGAGAGTTGGTCATGAGTGAAATACCAGTGCAAGCAACCCTGGGGCAAAACACAACAGAATTTTCCCTGATATTTTTATTTTCCATCTTGGCCCTGATAGCTGAAGTGTTTGGAGGGGTGGGCTGACAAATCAATCTTTATATTACTTAGCTTAAAATCTTCTACTTTTGTGAGCTAACCAGGTTAAACACAAAAGAAACATGAAAACAATTACTGGCTGAAATGCTTCTTAGCAGAGTGAGAATTCAGAAGGCCAACAGTACTGTAATTCTCATTTTGTTGTTTCTGGATTTGTACAAACTGCTAAACATGTTGAAATATTAGAAGAGGCAACTTCTTGGCTGTATCCTGTAAATCATGTCAGACCATAGTCATCTATACTCAGTTCTCTGATCATAATCTATGCTCTGGGCATCCTTATCTCTCTGAACTCTTCAGTTCTCATACTTGGGGAATAAGATTAAATAAATCAACCATTGTGAGATGGAAGAAAATGAGCCACCTTAGTGATAGTTTCAGTTAAATTTCACTCAGTGTCTGCTCTCAAAAATCCCCTACAATAAGGAAGCTGGACTTAAAAAATGTATAATGCAGTAGTATCAGTTGAGTTGGTAAAATATGAAACATAGGAACAAATAGTTGTGTATTTTCTTTAATGCAAGGGCCACTTTTATTTTTTAATGACTCCAGCAGTTAATAGACTTCCTGATATTAGTGGGTACTCAATAAGGGAGAAAGGCCTGGAGGGTTAAAGGAGACTCAACACAGAATTCTT